AAAAGCAGCATGTGGAAGGCGATGGATCTTCTGGAAGCAATGGCTCAGATTTCCTCCTATTCTGTAGTAGTTGATTTCTGGGCACCCTTTCCTGACATGATTCCTTCTGCTAGTTTCTCACAAGGCGTAAAGTCAGCTTTAATCAGTGGTAACAGTGACGGGGCAGTACCTGCTGTGATAATGCTCAAGACAGTCAGTGCTCTTCTATCCCGTCCAGCTTGGCGAGGCTCAGGACGCATTTCATAATGAAGACCTGCCATCCCACTGCAGGGTCTTCATTGGGAAACCATGAAACTGGTCCTGCCATGAAACTACATGACGGGTCATTGCTCGAGCTGTGAGAGCAAAGTTCTTGGAACCAGCAGGAGAAGGGGCTAGGTCAAGGTCATGCCAGGAAACTAGGACTAGCTGTAAAACCCAGAGACACACACATTAGTGCTGGTCAGAGGGAGAGCTTTCGCTCATTGTTTGAATTTATCACCTAAACAAGATGGCAGAAGTGAATAGAATATTTGGTAGATGATTTAAATAGATAATAAAGGTTAGGAACATTTAATGCAGTAATTGTTAGCCATCAAAAGTGAAACTGAAAATTGTCTCAAAATGTTCATCCTTTAAAAGACAGGGAACACAGAACATAGTATTGTACAGTGTGTGATTTAATCATACACTGATGTGAGCCAAGATTATGTTAATTTTATTGATTTTTGTTCCAACTGAGGCCCTCTCATCTTTATTAAACAATTAATAGATTTTAAAAATCCGTTTTAAGAAATCAACACTTCATACTTCTTAAAACATTTCAAATGCAAAATCTATAAAGCTTCAAAAAGATTTCAGGTTAATAACAGCCATGACTAGAAGTTGCTCAGTAATTGTCAAATCACTTAGAAATGGACCTGAGATTAGTTTTCCATACCAGGGATTACAAAAGAATGATTTTGTTAAAAATTAACCATTAAAATGACATTACTTCACTTACGGATAAAGAATGTCCAACTCACGTAGGTCCTACTCCTAGAGGCTCATTCCCTTTCACACTGAGGACTGTGTGTACTCTAAACATCTATTATAACATCAGGCATTGTTTATTCTTTTTTCAAAGAGGTGCAAGCTGTGTTAGTGTTGTTGGGTGGAAGAGTAATTTAAATAAGCCCTTTGGTTTGTGTTGCACACAAGAAGGCTTTACAAGATTTAATCTTTTCTAAACCTGTTACGCTCCTCAGTTCAGCAGAGCTTCCTGATTGTAGCTATTAGTTCCCCCTTTTTGTGGTCTGTTCTGTCAATAGACTATTGAGTGTTCAGTAAATTAAGCCCAGCCAGCAGCCAACACATCGAGAGATGGACGTTAAATCATAGCCCGGCGGCCCTTATTCATTATTAGTATCTGTGAAACGGCTTTTAAACACAGGGACAGGATTTAACACGACGCACATTTGTGTCACTCTCAGATTTCCCCACTGTACAATCAGGTATGTGAGGGGTTTTTTCCAGCAACAGGTGTGTTCCTGGGACTACGTTCCAAGCCCGCTTCTGGCTTCTGTGAGAGGCGGCAGCTGCAGGCTTAATGTGAATGACACATGGTTCTGTAAGAGGCAAACAATAAACAACTGCTCGGAGCATTAGAGCAGCAGGCAGATGGGCTGCGGCTGCTTGGGCTTCTCTTTGTGTGGTGGAGGCAGGGTCCACATTTTCAGAGGACAAGTGTTTTTCTCTTTTTTACCTTCTTTCTCTGTGCTTCCTTCCTTCTTTCCTCCCTCTCTCCATTCTTTCCTGCTCTCTTTCTCTCCTTTCCTTTTTCCTTCTTTCCTCCTTCCCTTCTTTTCTGTTTCCTTTCTTCTGCTCTTTTTAAAAACTAGTGGAAAACATAAATCTCTTTAAGAATCACACATTCATTACTGAGACTACATTATTTCACTGCAGTTAGACTTAAAAATGAGAAAGAAAAAAAGTAATGTAAATAAAGTTACACTTTACAGCTTTCTTTGTTCTAAAAAGAATCTAAAAGGACTATTTACTATGCAATTTGATGATTTAGAATGCAAATCCTACTTAAAAAAAGGTAAAGTTAAACTCTTGTTTATGGATCCCCTTAGTTAAAAGCTTCTATCTAAATTTTGTGAGACATTACTAATGAGAGTCATAATGTAGTATGTACCCCAGAAGCATAACATCAACGTTAATTAATGGAAGCAATAAAAATGCAATGATTATTGTGATCATGTTTAAGAGGGCAAATGTTTATCAGTCACTCAAGCGTCTCTCTTTGTGTTTGGAGAATACTCCTTTGCGTGTTCGCTTTCCGGTGCGGTCACCCTCAGAATATAAGGAAAGGAGCAGACGGGGCTGATGACAGAGCACTGTGAGACCTGTGGAGCGCAGCCTGAGCCCATAGACTTTTCTAGAACTCAAGAATAACGGAGTCCTCTCTGTCACCACTGGGTATTTTAATACAAATACTAAGGCATGGTAAAAAAAAAATATGGTGAATGCTTTATATGTTTTTAAAGAATGTATTGCAGTGAAAGACACAGTGCCATTAATCTCCCCAAAACTGTTCCCCCTCACTTCAAACACCCACATCCCCTTGTGCTTGGCACTTTCTGGAGCAGTCCCAGAAGTCCTTTACACGAGTAGCTGTAGCTGTGCTGTTGGCTACCTTGGGGTCCTGAACCCATTCAGAACATTTACCTTTCATGGTCATACTGACTTTGAGGAAGAGCCAGAGTTACACGGTGCCGGATGCAGTGGGGAAGGTGGGTAAGGACACACCTTTTCCTTAACAGAAATTGCCATAAACGGCAATGTGTCTTTTAGTGCAGTAGTTTTTCAGACAGTCACCATATTTTGTGATTACAACTCCTTATTTAATAAAAATAAGATCATGAGAAGAACATGCTTTTTCCTTTCTGAGATGTGGCAAATAAATACACTGCAAGGAGAATGTGAGGAGCAAATATTTGATGACAGCTTTGGAACCTTGGCTACCCCTAGAGTCCCACATCCACAGAGGACTGGCATGGCGGGTTGTGTGTGATATCTAGATGGGAAGGGAGTGAAGGAAAAATCTCTTTTGATGTTTTTTTTTCCTTAACGTCAAACCACAACTTTATTCAAGAATCAGATTTTCTGTGAATCTGCACTGAAAACAGTTTTGTCAGGATTGCTCCTTTGGTGAGAAATCTATAGGCATACAGATTTGGCATTCAATCCTAAGGCTAGTGAAGAAGAGGAATCTGAGGGTCAGTTTCTTTTTATGTTTTTAATGGTTTGAGTTTATTAGATTTTCACTAAACGCAAGCAAAGCGTGACTAATCCCAGACACGATGCTAACATTTTTAGCCGTGTAAAAAGAACCTACAAGTGGGAGAAAGCCCTCGACATCTTTAAATGTCTTTTCCCATACAAGCATTCCTAAATTCCATGATTTCGCTTTCCTCAGGTTGTATTGTCTTGGTAATTAGGGTGAGATATACATGACAAAATTTTATCATTTGAACATTGATCCCGACCCCCTCCACGTACGGGAGATTGAGCCCAGGTCCTTCATGCTGAGCTCCACATCCAGGTCCTTCTTAAAATAATTTAGAGACAGAGACTCACCAAGTCACTGAATTGCCCAAGCTGGGCTTGAACTTGTGACCTTCCTGCCCCAGCCTTTTACACAGCTGGGATTATGGGCATGCACCCCCCTCTCCAAGTCTTAATCATTTAAAAATGTATGATTTAATAGTATTTATTATTGTCACATTGTTGCACCATCTCAGGAATTTTTTGCTCTTGAAACCATACCCATGAAGAAGGACTCCCCATTTCCTTCCTCCCTCAGCCTGTGCTACCATCACCCCACTTTCTGTCTCTAGGAATTTGACTACTCAAACACTTCATAGGGCTGGAATCTTATAGCACTAATCTTTTGCATCTGGCTCATTTGCCTTAGCAGAATGTCCTCAAAGTTCATCCACTTTATGGCATGTAACAGGATTATTTTCATTTTTAAAGGCTGAATAATTTTCCATTGTGTGTAGCTATTCTATTTCCTTTATGCTTTCTTCAGTAGCAGCTCCTGCGGATAATGCTGCTAGGAATATAAGTATACAAACATCTCTTCAAAGTCTGATTTCAGTGCTTTGGGGTACGGACCCAGAAGTGAGATTGTTAAAGCATGCTGTAGTACAATAGTTAGGTGGGAAGGAACTTCTGTGCTTTTGTTTTCTTAGCTGCAGTGTTTTATATTCCCACCAATAGAGAACAAGGGCTCCAGTTCCCCCACTTCCTCACCAACACTTGTTACTGTCTAGGTTGTTCTGAGAGTCACTGCACTAAGGGCATGAGACTGACAGGCTCCGTCTGCACTTCAAGGAAAGGGATCAGGGCGCTGGTGACTGAGTCAACTCAGCTGGGTGATCTTTTTTAAAGCACAAGCTGAATTGTCTTTAGTCGTCTGGCCAATGCCCTCCATGGTTTCCCATCACACTGGGGTAAGAGCCACAGCCAGGACCATGATTAAGATCATGCCACCTTGTTCCATCCTTGGAGCCTTGGCCTGGGCTGCCTCCTCTGTGGGGACCACTGTCCTCAGTTGCTCCAGGGCTCCCCCCCCCCTCCACTCAGATCTCTGCACAAATGTCACCTCCCCAGAAGCACCTGTTTGGAATAGCATCCCTGCTAGGGGGACTTTTGGTATCATTACCCTGCTTTCTCTTTTTCTCCTATCTATACTACCTGAATGACTTCATGGACTACCTGTGTTGTCTGTGTCCGGGGTAAAGTGAAATTTCCACAATGTGTCTTTTTCATCCCTGATCCCCAGCTTTGAGAACAGCACTAGCAGTGTACCACTGGCGGCCACTGTGGGCATGATGAACTGACCAGTGCCTACACCAGAGCTCCAGCTACTTCCTGCCTCGCCAAAGCAAGAAACGCGTCATGCTGTTCATGTGCCAGAGCCGGACTGGCCACTGCGGGCTCTCCACAGAGCAGGGGAGGAAAGTACTCACATGAGTCTCCACGTCACCGGCTAGGATCCTGCTGTTCCTCAGAAACTCTGCCACCATGCCATTCATCAGCTTATCAAAGGCTTCCACGGAGGGCGCCACACCTTAGGAAGAGGAACGCTTTGTTATTCCTTGGCGACCAGGGACAGTCTTGCATAGGTAACATGGACATTCACTATCGTCTTTGCCATTCTCACCAACTCCCTCCAAAGCCATTCCTTCAACCAATCAGTATTTACTCAGTGCTTCTCCGCAGCCCAGGAAGATGTCATTTCACCCGCATCCTTTCATTCATTCTCTCCAAGCTCAGTGAGGGAAACACTAATGCCTAAGAGTGAATGGTGGAGAAATGGAGATGCAAACAGAGCCAGGCGATGGGCCAAAGTGACAGATCAGACCACGGGCAGATGAAAAGGCTGAAATGAGCTGGATTCGTCCAAAGCCACAGCGCTTTCCTCCTACCCCCACCTGCCCAGGTGCTGAATCCCCGGGACCGCTGTACCAAGAGTCCCAGGGACAGCAAAACACCAGAATGAACTCTAGACAAGGATGCAGATTTCACTCATTTCGTTCCTTCTTCCTTCCTACAGGGAGGAGATGTGACATGGAGGGAGTGAGGATTGCTGCTCAGCTCATGCACACAGGCTTCAGTCTGCCATTTTACCGTCACAGCTTAAGTGACAACTACGCAACCAGTGTGTTGTGTTTCTTTCCCTGACTTTTAACTAACTGAAAAAACTCAGTGTCCTAGACTTCAGGTCCCTAATATTGAGAACCTTAGCACTATAGGTTATTAAAATCCAAATCCAAAGCTCGGCATTCCCTTTCTTTTATTATACAATCATTCAAGTGTCATAAAACTATAGGACAAAGCTTCCTTCCTTTCCTCTTTTTTCCCATTTGCCCATTTCCACAGGCCCAAAGGTGACAAAAACAGTTATGCACAGCTCTCTGCTCCTATCGGACGGCTGTAGCCAAGTTACCCTAACCTTCAAATGCATCAGTGTGTGCTAACTTCTGCAGAGGGGCAGGAGCCCAAAGGTCCCTGTGGGTCCTTATAAAAACAGACAAACAAACCTATTTGTTGCTAGAGGAGAGGCCCGAGAGGTCTCCCTTGAATAGCTAAAGTGGGAGAAAGCTTTAGAAATGTGGCAGAGGCTCTCCAGAGCAGAAGGTAGAGGGATAAAAAGGAATATTTCCCAGTTTCTTTTCATCACTGTTCTTAGCTAACCTCCTCCGGGCAGCCATTAATGAATGATTCGTCCTTTCCCCAGCCAGCCAGCATCCTTTGAGCACCTCTTAATCAAAGCATTTGTGGCTCTGAATAGCAATGCTTCTAGACCAAAGATTCTGGAGGATTAAGGCTGTGTATAATTCATCTGAGATCTCCTAACGTAGTGCTTGTTATTTGGCAAGAGTGAAGAATTATTTCTTCCACTGTTTGGCTGAACTTACCTGATTGTTGGGGGGGTGGGATCCCCCACTTCATTCTTTTGATCTATATGCACTATGCATTTTAATGGGCTGTGTTCCTTCTAAAAACTTCTTTTAAAGTAGGAGAAAGTAATTTTAGTTATACATCATAGTAATGATGATGTTTCTGCTTAAGGTGAAAAGTTATTCTTAAAGATTTGTCAAAATGGAATTAGAAATCTACCGAAAGTTACTAATTAAGAAGAAATGAAAGTGTTGTTTAGAATTAATAAAAATATTTTAAGAATGCATATCATCCAGATAGCTTACAAATAAATGATCCTGTTTACTAAGTATCCTATTTCATTTAAAGCGGATAATAAATTGCCAGCTGAGTTGTCTTAGACCTTTGCTTTGAAATGATGTACTGTATTAGAAAATATTCATTTAAATCTAAAATAATTTAATTATATGTCTTCCAATTTTTATTTAGCCTACTAATTTTCCCAGAAAGAAAATTTCCTTTTAATAAAGACAATAAAAAGCTCAGTTTACTACCCTTCTGGATATGTGAGGTTCAAATTTATATTCATGGATTTTTATTTAATCAACAATATGATATAATTCGTTTGGCAGCTGGGTTTTAACTTTTTTGTGTACTGACAGGTTTTACAGTTTTGGTCAGCAATCTTTCAGAAATCTCTGTAATCACTTGATGCCAATGGTATAATGAAACAAAGTTACTGAAAAGAAAATAATATTTTCTGACAAATAATGTTTACGAGTCTCATATACCAGCTGTAGAGTTAATGAAAAGAGGCTTAAAATGAAATCATAGATGTGTTTCAGTCACTGTGAAAAAAACTTACAAGGACCCTGGCAGCGGTCCTTCAAACAACACCGCCTTTCAATTCATTCAAAGCATTTTAATTTTCATTATGTTCAGGGGGGAAGACACAGCCAGCACATTTGTGCTCACACAGTAATTTCTGTCCCGTGGCATGTGGTCTAAGGCACAGCTCCAAATGTGCCCAGTAGGAACCATGTAGATCTTTCCTGAGGAAAATGATTTTGAAGTCTCCTTTCTCTCAAGGTTTTCTCAGCAGAACCCTCCACCAAAAAAAGCCTTAGCAGGATTCAAAACAGGTCAGGTAAGGAGACCAACACGGGACAAAAATAATCACCATATTAAATACAGATCACCCAGCTGAATTTGAATTTCAGATAAGCGATGAATCAATTTTTAGTATAAATATGTGCCATGCAGCAGAGCTTACGCAGTATTTGGGACATATTAAACAAAACAAAACAAAAACCCCTAATGATTCTTTATCTGAAACTCAAATGCATCTGTTGTCCTGTATTTTTATTTGTTAAACTGCAACCTTAGGCAAGAAGGAAAAGTTATTATAGGAAACTTGAACAGTTTGCCATTAAAAAATACTTTGAAAGAAAGTATCTTTTGAGCCAGGCATGGTGGCACATAACTGTAATCCCAGCACCCAGGAGGATGAGGCAGGCGGATCGCTGTGAGTTTGAGGCCAGCCTGGGCTACAAAGTGAGCTCAAGGCCAGCCAGAACTGCATAGTGAGACTGTCTCAAAAAGACAAAAACAAATAATAAACCAATTTTTATTTTTAATCAAATAATTTTAAATGATCTAAAACTTTTAAGGTTGGTATTAAGGCTGTAGTGTTGAGTGAATCCGGCTGGCAGGAGACAAGAGGAGAACCCTGCAGTGTGGCCCAGTGACACTGTCATAGCTGACGTCACATCGGTCACAGCTTCCTTCAAAACCACCATTTCTGAATGTAACGCGTTGTCCTGAAAATTAAAATCTACATTCTTTTCAATTTGCATTCTAGTTGAGAGCATTGGTTTTCTCTTTTTTGATAGTTACTTAGATAATATATTTAACCCTGAATTGCTGGGACTGCAGTCTAAACACGAAAACGACATCGGGCAGCTGGATTATGCTCTTAAGGGAAGCAGATGTTGGTGATTTTGTGAGCTGTGGAATGAAAATATTTTTTTTAATCGGTGCATAAAATGCGTTCATATTTACAAGGAAAAGAAAGCTTATTTTTGATTTCTCTTTTTCCAGAAACCTCTTGCCCCAGGTTAATGTTGTCGTCACAAATAAAGGAAGCAGTGGAGAGGCTGAAAGCAGGTGGACGTGTTCTGGAAAACTACACAATGGGGACAAAGCGAAGTGACCCTCACAGACACGTGTGACGACAGCAGTGTGGTCCTACCTCCGTTGACACCGTTGACCTCCCCGAAGCCCCCAGGAGGCTGCTGCGACTCTGCAGACAGCTGCTCCAGCCGGCTGACAGCGTGCTCCAGTCTCTCCACCAGGCCCTGCAGGTCCGCCATGCTGCAAGGACAGAGGCACAGAGGCCACGTGAGCACCGAGAGGACCAGCAAACTGGCCCCACTGCACTCACCAGCAAGCGGGAAAAGAAAGACTGCCTGCATGGTGCTAATTACCCAAAGATTAAATGTGCAAAATTCAAAAGAACACAGCGCTCGGTACAAAAGAAAGCCAACGCCGCAGAGCTTATTTTCTACTGGATTTGTACAGAAATATAAAAACGAACACATGTGTCACAAATATTCACTCCCTTTATGTCACTCTCCAGTGCCTGCTGGGGATGCGTCTCTGTCACCCAACATAATTTATAGACAGCACTTACCACGAGCCCGCACTCATATCCTCTATGTTAACAATGCCAACTCTTTATTCTACTAAATAGAGGGAGCATATTTTAATTAACGCCAGTAATTCTGCCGTTAAAATATAATTCCCCAGGGACTCTGACCCCACTAATAATCCTTATTTACTTAATTGTGTGAACAAAATAGCCCAGGGCAAGAGAACTGTGCACTTAGGAAACTGTACAATATTTAACAGGCAAGAAGGGGCCACTGCCTCCCAGTGCTGGTTACCATTATGAATTTGTTCTAATATTTCTGTCACTCAGTATGCATATATCTATCTATTTATTTATTTATCTGGTGGTACTGAGTATTGAACTTAGCACCTTCAAGCTGAATTACATCCCCAGACCATTTAAATTTTTTCTTTATTTTGAAGAAGGGTCTCACTAAGTCACTGAGTTGCCCAGGCTAGGGTTAAACTTTTGATGCTCCTGCCTCAGCCTCCCGGAGAATTGGATTATAGTTGTGTTCCAATATATCGGGCTGCTCAATTATTTTAAGTGAAAATTATTCTTGGATGGTAGAAGTTTGAATTTAAAATAGTAAAAAATGGTTATTTTCCTTTCATAATGTTACTGATCATTTTAAAGCAAAATTTAGTGTTAGATGTGATTATGAGACAGGATCATTTGCTACCCAGAATTCTGCCCGGGATAAATAAGGAATGAATGAGACCTACCAAAGCGGAACAAGAGGAGCACTGCAGCTGGCCCTGCCACCTTGCAAGGTGTGTCAAACTGGCTATGTCTAACCTGGCTGGGTGTCCACTCTTGACTGTGTCAAGCTGCCAGCTCCTGGCCAACCCTGCACTTTGGTTCCCCTCAGCACAGGATCAAGACCTTTGTGACCACCTACCAAACAACTTGATTTGGATGAGGCCGCAGGAGAGACGGTAAGCCCTGAAGAGTGGGCAGCTTGAGAGGAAATCATGGGTGGCCAGCAGTGCTAGCCCCCAGAAAAGCCCATGGCTATTGTAGACTGTAAAAACAGTGTGATGTTTTACCTTGGGAATGAATTCATCACAGAGTCATGGAGTTGGAGAAGACATTCAGTACAGAGCCTACCACTCTGCCAGAGTTTAAGGAGGCACCATATTGGGAAGGGGTCATTGTGTGGGACTGAACTACAAAATAACTATACCACAACTTTACTCTAGGATGTTCAGGGTTATAACATGGTGCCTGGGTGAGAGACAGCCACAGCAGACAGACATGGAGAGTGTGAGGGCTAGACACAGACCCCAAGAGAAGTTCAAGCTCTGGCTAGGAAGGACATGGGGCCCTGCACTCTGCGGGGGGAGGCCAAGCCAGACAGGTGTGGCTTTCAGATGTGGCTGGTTGTGAAGGTGATGGCACTGAGTCCAGCAGCTTCTAGAGCCCTTGCCTTTCTGCCCAAATCCAGCAGAGACCAGTGGTCTGATTTCATCACTGTTTACCAGTGTGAGCAATGGTGTGTCTTGGCATGGACGGTTGCCATGGTCTAGGGTTCACAGATGGAGAGACTTTTTGAGGACGGGGGCGCCTTACAGATTCACACACTGTGAAGCTGGGAAGATAGACAGTGATTTCCTGGATCCCAAGACTGCAGCTCCTGGGAGGGAGCCACTCCTTTAAAAACACAGAGGAAAAATTTTTGATCCCTTTTTTTCTCCTTTGTTTTTAAAATTAAATTAAATTAAATTTTGTTTATGTGATGTTTGGTGCTTGGAAAAATTTAAAATCCTGTTTCCTTTTTGTTTTGGCTTTTCCCTGCTTGTTTTTATCTCCCTCTTTTAATTTTGCTCTTAGTTTTTCTTTTAATTTTCTGTTTTTATCTTTTTACTTTTATCTAATACTATCAATTTCCTTTTATTCCTTAATAGTATTTTTTATTGCATTTTCACCATCTTCTTATCTTTCATTGCTTAATTTTTCAAATTTTCCTTTTATAATGCTTCCATTCCATTCCCCCACCCTCTATTCTTACTAATAAAACCATTAAACTTTATGAATCTATAGATAGCTAACTATACGCTATTACTGTTGAATACTGTTTTATTGTTAGTGGAGGTAAAGTTGTTACATTTAGTACATATTTACTGTACATCAATGTTTGATTTGTCTTACTGTTTAAACATAATCATAGCTCTCTTTTCTATGGTTAGGGATAGTACATTATTGGTTATTAGGGTACGTCAATATCAAGTTTGTCTTTGATGTTATTGTTGCTAATTTTAGTACCATGGGTGTCACAGTTGTTGCTATCAATTAATGTTCTCTGCATGCCAATACCTGGTTTGCCTTCATGACATTAACAATACTGTGGCCAATTTCTGGACAACTGAGTCCTGAGCCAAATACATTGCAGCCTCCCCTTCCAAATAAGCCGAGGCAGGGGATCTTGGGACAGAGGCAAAGGCTTATAGTTAATGATGCTCAGCATGTGTCGCTAAAAAGCAAATACTAACTAAAGAGGTCACAATACATGAAGTCTTCAACTGTAAAAGAGAAAACAAAACAGAAAGAAAGAGAGAGACACGAGAAGGTAAAGCAACAAAATGCCTCCCCAAGCTTCCAACTCCTCCAAAACCAATGAAGAGGGCATCAAGAGAGAGAGAAAACCAAAAGTCACAGTTGGACTATTTGAAAGGATAGCAGAGGAGATAACAAAATGAATTAATAGGATTCTTGGTGAATTAAAAAAAGATATGACTAAACAGATAATGAACATAATAAAATGATCAGTGATTCCACAGAAGACAACAATAAGCTAGCTGAGTGAAGCAAAGCAATACAAAACATGAAGTCCAGCACAAAAAAGGAATTAAGAGCCTATGAAAAGGTATCAAACAGAAATTTAAAGTTTCCTTTCAAAGTACGGGCACCAGAACCAACCAATATGAAGACACAGTATCAGAACTTTTAGAAAACAGGGCTGTGGTCAGTGATCAATAATTGAAGAGATACCTTAAAAACAACATGAGAACATGAAAAATGGATCCAGTAACTGCTAGATTATGCAAAGACCAATCTAGGATGACCTGCAATTAGTGAAAAATCAGAAGACAACCCAAATGATGTAAAAAATAAATAAAGAAAGAAAGAAAGAACAAAAGAAAGAAAGAAAGAGACAGAGAAGTTGTAGCAGAAACACTCCAAACATGGGAAAAGAACTTAACTTACAGATAAGTGAGGCACATGGAATCCCCAAAGAGTAACAATCAGTAAAGAACCATTCCATAACACATCACAGTAAAAATCTCAAAAGTCCAAGAACAGAATCTTAAAAGTCGTTAGAAAAAAGCAGTGAAATAATCTTTCAAGCCCTAAAAGAGAACAACTTCCAACCAAGACCGATGTATCTTACAAAACTATCTTGCAAAATTGGTGGAAAAATAAGACAGCTCCATGATCAGAACACTTGCAATGCATGACCACCAAACCAGCACTCAAAAAAAAAATCTCAAGGATATACTAGAAGGAGACAATGAAGCTAACAATGCCAAAAAGTTAAATAGAATGAATGCACCAGGTAGGATAATCAATTAAGTAAGAGAATGAAAGGAAATCAGCAACAGTAAAATAATATAACAACAGGAACATGTCAATATCTACAAGCAATAACTCTCGATGTCACAGTCTCAGTTCCCCAACCCAAAGACACAGACTGGCAGAATGAAGAAGCAAAATCTGATGGCATGTTGTATACAAGAATGCATTAAATGCAAAAAGAAATTCATAGACTAAAAAAGAAGGATGGAAAACAATACTTCATGCAACAGGAACCTGACAAGAAGCAAGGGTAGCTATCCTACTATCGGACGACACGGATTTTAACTAAAACTGATCAGAAGAAGGTTACTACATATTAGTTAAGGGAAAAGTTCAACAGAAAGAGGTAACAGTTGCACATCTGATTTAAGTTGCACATCTGATTTCATAAAAACAAACACTACTACACATGAAAATATAACATCATTACCATTATAGTGAGGGACATCAATACCACATTATCACAAATAGCTCCACTAGACGAGAAGTCAACAAAGAAATGTCAGAGTGGAACCAAATCTTCAAACAAATGGTTTTAATAGTTATCTGCAGAGTGCTCCATCCAACAGAATATGCATTCTTCTCAACAGCACATTGAAATTTTTCTAAAATAGACCACAAATAAGCCAATAAAGCACGCTTAGATAAATACAAACTCAGTGAAATTATTATCATGCATATTATCAGATCATAGTGCAAGGCCTCTGAAACTCAGTGGCACAATAAACCACAAAAAGTACACAAACTCATGGAAATTAAACAGTATACTCTGGGTCACAGAAGTTATCTAGGAAGAAATAAGAGAATTTGTAGAATTAAAGAACAATGCCAGTAAAACATACTAGAACTTACGGAATGCAATGAAAGCATTTCTCAAAGGGAAGTTTATAGTTGTGATTGCTTATATAACAAAAACAGAGCAGGTCCAAATAAATAATCTAATCATGCAAGAACAACCCAAATCTAAAGTTAGTACAAGGAAGGGAGATAATAAAGGAAGTGTAGAAATCAGTGAAATGGAGATAATCAGTAAATCAAAGAAAAGGTTCTTTCAAAGAATAAATGAAATGCATGAATCCTCAGCCAATCTTACCACAAGATGGAAAGAAAGGATGCAAATCAATGC